ACACATTAATTAACTTAAGCTATTTAATTTAAATTTATTAAGTTAAAATTTATTAATGTATCTAATGAATGAATATTTATTATTTATAATTTTTTTATACAGGTAATTAATTATATTATATATGAGATATCAAGAGATTTAATATTTGGTGATTTAAAAAGTGAATTTTATATTTAAATACTATAATAATTGTTAAATTTAATATTGATATTATAAAATCAATGTAATAAATTTATAATTTAAGTGAAAATAAAGAATATGTGTTTATAATATTGGTAGATATAATTTTTTTATCAGATATTTTGATTCATCACTGACAAGTGGTATGTTGCTGAAAATGCTGGAGGTGTTATTGGAATAAACATTAGCAATGAGGGCTATGTTGCTGATGTTTAGATTGGTGCACTATTGACCTCACTATTAGCAACAAGGACATTGTTGCTCATAATGAGTTAGAACTATGTAGTTGAAAATGGGTTAGCTTTCAACATCGAATTCTGGTTTTTTTTTTTTTTACTGGTTTACCACGAATTTTTAGCAACATGAATCATGTTGCTGAAACCCTGTTTTTAGCAATATGGCTTATGTTGCTAAAAATCTTAGATGAACTCATCGGAATTTTCATCGAATTCTATAAATACTTTTTACCAACATAAGTGGTGTTGCTGAAAGTATTTTTTCAACAACATACTTTATGTTGTTGATATATTAGCAACTATAACCTTGTTGGTAATGTATCACCTACCAAAGCATTTCCAACAAAGCTTTTAGCAAGAAGAACCACGTTGCTAAAAGACTTTCAGCAACATGGAAGGGACCTTCAGCAACATGCTTCCACATTTGCTGAAGACAAGGACTTTAGTAGTGAATAAACAAGTTGTCTTTATATGTCATTGTATTTGTCCCTACAGAGTGGGAGTTAGGCCCTAGCCAAAAAGGAAAAAGGAAAAACCATAGATGGTTTGTTTCGCAATGTGAGTTTGAGAGGAGTGTATTTGAAGTTGGGATTACAAATTCAAATTCATTGTTTGTTTTCACACAATAAGAGTGTATTTGAATTTTAATTTAAATACACATATTTTAATTTGTGTATTTTAAAAACTAAAAAAACATGTATTTTAAATACTTTTTCATACTCACGAATTTGATATTGGATTTCAAATTCTTTGTTCATTCTCTACATTTTCCTCTACGATGAGATAGCTTCTCCTCAATGAAGCCTTGACGATCACATTCAAAATTGTATATTCTATCTCCATATTCTATTCATCCCTTGTTTTCGTTGCTTTGTTTGTCTAGGCTGGTGTTGATTGAGTTGAACTCATTGAGCAAGTAGTGGTGGACACCAAGTCACTCATGGAGGGTAGTTTATTGGTGGTGATATCAAAACCTCTATAAACTTGTATTTTGGGTGATATCGAGACCTCTGTAAACTTGTATTTTATCAAAGTTGATGAATTGAGAATGGCCAAAGTGGGTAGTGGTCAAGTCAAGGGAAAGGAGGGACTTCTTGCTATTGTTAGCACCCATGATGACCACAAGCTTGTCTTTCTAGCATTGGGCAATGGTGATGGGGTAGTAGAGTTCACACAGGGACATCGTGGGCAATGGTGGTTGTGGCTACAGAGGCAAAATAGTTAGGAATAGAGGTGGGTGAAGGGGTACTGAAATAATGGGTGGGTGATTTTCATATGAGGATGCAGAAAAAACAAAGTGGTGGTAGTCTTTGCCGAGTTATGCTTAAACATATACGGAGTATGAGATATTAATTATCATTTTGTTTTGCTACGTATGATAACTAAAATAACAACCTTATTTTGAATTTTGACAAGCTACTTCAAAACAAAGAGAGAGAAATAGGGGTAATGGCATGGGTAACTAAAACTGTCGTGTTTGTAAAAATGTCTTAACGGGAGTGATTATGATCTAATCAATTTCAAATTCATGGTCCTTTAATTTAATAAACTGTGTAGTTTAATAAGTACTTAAAATACATATATTTGAATTATACGAATTTAAATTACACCTATTAAATTCAAATTTAAGTTCCCAAATGCAACCAGAGCCATATTGGATTTAAAACCAGTTCAAATTATTGTGAGAAGAAGTGAGCAAGAAAATAATTAAAAGGTATCAACAAAGCGTCTAACGTTGTCCTGCCAACCTTATGGTCAGAATAAAATTTTTCCGGCATAGGGCAGACCTACCACAAACAATTATATCGAACACTTCACGAACAATTATATCATATACGTTCTGCAACTGGGTGAAATTTGTGATGTCGAGTCAAATGCTGTGCGAATGAGCTGAGAAAGAACCCATTTATCCATCTGGACCCCAAATAATTGAAAAGAAATCTAGCGTACTTGCCTTGTCAATGCTCTCACAAATCCAAATATGTATTAAGTTTAGGAAAAATGATTTAGAAACAACTTTTTTGCGTACATTTTTATACATTTAAATGATTGATTCTTTTTATTCATTTAGAACTCATAATATTAAATACATCCACTCATTAAATGATATATAAAAATCGTATAAAAATGTGATATAAAAAATTTATCCTTATACCACCACCCTAATTTTAGATCTTGGATCTTAAGATGATATTTCCAGGTTTTGTATTACCTGCAATTCGTCCAACAACCATAAATACTGTTTCCACCATACCATGTAAAGAAGCCAAACAAATCAAATAATTTAAACCAATTTTTAACTAGGAAGAAGAATAAGCTATTTATCAGTTACTGAATCATGGCATTCAAAACATAAATAGAGTATCTAATAAAGATTTAATCATCGTTAAAAGAAAATAAAGATTTAATCAGCTCTTTCGAATAATCTAGGGCAGATGTCGAAGAGAGCAGATGATGGCTTTCCAGTGCAGCTGGTGTGAATCTCATGTTTGCAGAATTCAAAAAGAGGAATAGGCTGCAGGTGTATATTCCAGTTCCTCCTGTTGAAAAGAATAGCATAATTTAACAAAATAGTCAAGTAAATCTCACATCAAAACATGACTCCCTAGTATAAACAAACATAGAAGATTAGCAAGATTATTGAGATGAAGACAGTGGTTTATTAATACAAGTATACAACATATCTCTAAAGGGGTTTTGCACAGATGAGATGAAAAACGGCCCAAAACGTAAATATTGATGAGATGTGAAATCAGAAGAGTGCACAATGAAAATGGAGTGGAAATTGTAAAATAAGGGTAGCTAATAACTTTATGCAGCACAGCCTTCAGATGTTCATATAACAAAAGACCAACTGCATTTAAGAAACATAAGCAGGTATACCTGAAGAATTATCCCCCCGTAAAAGAAGCAGAAGAATTGATTCTCAAAACGAACGCCTTGGCCTAGATTCTGCAACAGAGACCCGGATTGCTCTTCCAGCCAAATCCTGAATCAAATAAATTCTAATAGTAAAAATATAGTTGATATCTATTTAAAGCAGGAAGACCTACATTTTCCAATTTAATGTATGGGTCCAAAATTCTAATTATTAGAGATACACACACAACAACAAGAAAGCAATCAACTTACAACACCGTTCAAGGATTCAATGGCACTGTTGACCTCTTCGGCAGAACTGTAAGTTACAAAACCAAAGCCCCTTGATCTTCCACTATCTCTGTCATAAACCACTCTGGCTTCCACAACCTTACCTTGCTCACTGAACAAGGTCTGAAGTGCCAAGTCATCAACACCCCATGCAAGGTTACCCACATAAACACGATTTGATTCATCATAGGTTGTACCACCTCTGGCCCCTCTAAAGGAGGAATTTTCCCTTTGTGGAGGAGGTCCAGAATTTACCCTCAGTGGCCTGCCTTCCAATTCCTGCCAATTGAGATAAGCTCTTGTTTAGCTACAAGCAACAACTGGGAATGAGCCTATAAACTTATAAGTAAACTCAAAACTAGTAATTGGGATCTTAGCCGTTAGAAGAATTATGAAAGTATAAACAAAGAGAAATGTGAAAATGTGGAGGTATCCCACTACTGCTAGTGCTGATCAAACACGTTCATCTCTGTCAATCATTGACTACTAACATGTCATTGGACTTTAAAATGACAGAATATGTGACGCATAAAAAAATGGGAAAAGAAGTATGTCCCTCAGTTCTCAAATAAATTTCTTTTGTTTTGATATACGTGTAAACAGAACAAACCCCACAAAAGCATTAGCAAAATCTAACGAAACCATTGCTTGTAACAAAAAAACTGATTTACATGTACTGAGAATAAATAAACAAACTGACTTACATAGCCATTTAACTGTTGAGCAGCAGCTGCAACTTCCTCAGCAGTTGACATTGTGACGAAACCAAATCCGCGGCTTCTCCCTGTTACCTTGTCATAAATAACCTGCAAAAAGAAAAAAATTTGTACATGAAACTCAATTTATGTCTTGTTCCCCAACCATTTAACCCATTGAAAGAAAACCATAAGCTCAAATTTCCCGAACCTAGTTAGCAACTTAGCATGACTATTCTATCAGCTTACCATTGTTCGACTCTCAACATTCTTTGCATAAAGAATAGAAAAGTAAAATTATTACAGCTTTTATTACTTCCCAACACACTGACCAGACAAATGTTCGATAAAATTCCTCAATGAATTAACAGAAGTAAATCGCAAAAA